AAGCTTTGCCATTAATGCCTCACAAAATACTCCCCCTTGCTTGAAACACACCCGTCTCATCATTCTTGCACCTTCTGAAGCAGGTCTGGAGTCCTTTGCATCTGTAATTGAGCTGTCATAGTTGTGTTAGGTCCTGCTTCAATTCAGTGTTTAACTTTTATAGTCATTTGGATTTTGGGGATGAGCCAGAAGTTGCACAGTGCCAGACTCAATGAATACAGTAGATTAGGAAACACCATGATGTTTTAAAAGCTTGCTTTTCCTTTGGGTGACACATAGCATCAGCATTCGCTGTATTTTTATCACACCTCATAAAAACATTCATGAAAGAAAACCTCCAAAACTGCTTCATAAAATGGCAAGAATGATGACTTAAGTCTGTTCAAAGGAAGGGAAAGTATTTTTTGAGGGGAATTAATGGCAGTGCATCTTTCACTGTAATAACTTTTAAAACATTTATGTTCACCGTATTTTTCCATCATCTTTCATGTATAAGTGCTACACAATATGAAGAAATGGTACTGCTAGAACTGTTAATTGCTATTTTAATAGAGCAGTTACAGGAATATGTAAAAATTAGTTCTGTCCAAATTTTCCAGTGGTATGTAAATAATTCTGAAGAGTTACTGCCACCTACACAGCACTTGCTGCAAGGTTGTGAAACTCATTGGTTGAAATGACATTAAAAAATGATTTAAAAAAATTATAGTGCTCAGGAATCTCTGGTTACCTACAAGGATTTTCTGGACCTTAGCCTAATTTTACATTGAATATTTCTTTTATATCCCCAGAGAATAGTATGTTGGTTTATATTTGATTATATATTTACTTCAGTGAGAATCTGTAAATGTTTATGAAGTTCCAACTTACTAAAATTTAGTTGCCCAGAGTTAAGTCCTTCAAAAAGGAATGGAGTGAAGATGATGCCAGCAAAATATTTCACTCTTTACGGATCAACTGAATACCATTCACAGAGCCCTCCCCTTTGTAAAAAGCAATGCTTTTCAAGTTAAAGATACTTTTTTGTGTGCTGAAAATATTCCCCAGACTTATATTCAAATCTTTCTGATTCCCCATCAAGTAAATACCACGTTATGACTGCCAGTGTTCAAGCTCATAATAAAGTATGCAGGGGTCAGGGAGATGGCTCAGTAGAATAAGCACTTCCCTGGCAAGCGCAAGGGTCTGAGTTCAATCCCTGGTTCTGGAAAAAAAAAGTATGCTGATCAGAAGAATGCCTCTTTAACTTTATATTGCACTTGGGAATCATGCCTTCCCTTTTATTCCTAACTTTTCCTTGCTGCTATTCACATGAAGTATGAGAACAGCATACTGATATAAATAGCTACTATAAAGTGCAGATGACCTCAATGGATACTATGATGTGGTACCTATCTTTACTACCACTAGTGTGTTCTTCTGTTCATCCTTAGAGAGGAATCTATTAGATAACTGATTTTCCTGAGGCCATGTCCCTTTTTCTCACACCCAGTACATTTATATATGATGGACCTCTCAAAGACATGGGAACTTGGATTGATCACCTTGTTTACTCCCTGCATGCTGTGGCTGAGTTGCAGAGGCTTTGACTCCCTCTCCAGTCAGTTGCCTTCTTCCCAAGCCATGGTTCCTTGAGAGGACACAATCCACATAGATGTCCCAGAAGAGCTGAGCCAGATCCCAAAACAGGGCCCCATGCTTCAAGTTCCCAGATGACTTTAGGTAAATCATGAAATCCCAGAAGCCTGAAACAGTGTTGGCAATGCGAGGCTTTTGCATTTCCAGGAGGAGTACTGAGGAGGATTCCCAGCACTGACGATCAGTTTGGTCAAGAGCCAGCAGGTCTGTTTGGCTATGACACAAGACAGGAGACACACAGAACATTCCCAAAATAAGCAGGGAGCAGGTGAGCCTCAAGGGGCAATGAATCCTTCTGTTTCCAGGATCATCCATGGCCCTGAAACTTCACAAGATGGAAATGTATCAGTCCTTCATCATTTCCCACCAGGAAAGAAAATAAGAACCCTCTGAAGAAACTTCCTCCAGGAATAGATAGCACACCATGATCACCAAACAAGAAAAAGAGTATCCTCCTTCTTGTATCAGAAGCTTAATTTTATCTAAAGTGATTCACTGTCAGATCAGATAGTGTAAAACCAAGATATTTAGACTAAGAACTATGCTGCAGTTTGTTCATTTGCAAGCTTAATAACTGAAACCTTTTTTCCCTTTATAAAATAATAGCTTTAAAAGAATCTTAAATTTAGTCATCCAAATCCAGATTCATATAATATTAAAAACTTGAACTTTTTAACCCTGTGTATTTTTCTATTTATAGAGGCTTTTATTTTTTAAAAAAGACACAAGTACTATAAAATATTATAACAATAAATGCAAGATAGGTACTAAAAGTATAGGTGAATATATTTTGGAACTGGAAAATATATATGCAGTCCATTAGAATAGAGTCAATAGACATTTTATAAACACCTAGAATGTTCCTCTATTCTCATATCACTGTAATAAAAGTAACATTTTCTCATTTTTCTCTTCTTTCAATGAACCACAAGGAATTTTTTAAAAAGCATTTTTCTCTTAAGAATTCAACTTTCCCAGCTCTCAATGTCTAGTGCAGTAAAATCAGAGAGTCCACATATCACCTTGAAAAGATTCTTTCTTATGTTACCACTTCCGACAAAGTGCAATGAGGAAATTCTGCCCTTGAGGCAAGTTAAATTTTTCCCAGATAAAAGCTTACGTGAATCCTCAGAGACTATGTCAAATGTGTGCCACACTCAAAAATTTCATCATAAAGAGGAAACAGGAAGGGAGCACGGCGCTCATTTCCAGTTTATACTTCCTACGCTTTCAAATGTTAGTATCATAAAGGCAAGAAAGAGACACTTCATGAAAACACTTATAATATTTCTGTATCAGAAAATTCGATGACAGCACCACAAATAGAACTTTCCTCTTCTGAGCAGTGGCAGGATATATTGAGGCAATGTCAAACAAATATTTCAGAAACTCTCTGAACATATCATGTTCCTATTTTGAAAGAGCATGCTTGATACAACTTATTCCAAAAGAGTATTCTATATTTTATATCGTGTACATCTCAGTTCTATTTGGAAAGAAATTATCGTACTCTTTTCAGAACTAACATATCAAAGTAGAGATTCCCAGAGGCTGCCTTGCTGTAAGAGGTAGATCTAAACTGTTAGAGCTAAGCTTCCAGGAAAAAAAAAAAAAAAAGCGGGCGCTGTCCTCGGTGCTGAAGTTAGCTCTGTCCTGGGCTCCCAGTGGACTCAAGCCACAGCGCTCACATTTATCCTTCAGATTGTCTTAGAAAGGGCTTTTCCTAAACTAGAGAGGTGTTTCCCTGAGTTCTTTTTCTCTGGGCTCCTCCGCGCTCCACGTTAAGAGCCTCGCGCATAATCAGGAAAGTCCTGGTCCCGCACCTGCTTTCCCCGCTTCTCCCTCCCTGCGAAGCCGCGGGAACCCGCTCTTGGGCTCCTCACCTTACCCGCCGGACTGCCTGCAGGACGCCCCTCGCACTCACCGGCTTTGCCCTCTCATACTCCTTCAAGCGCGGGGAGAGGACGCTCTCCGGCTGTTCCCTTGGCGAGCGACTGTCCCCAGCGTCCGAGTCCAGAATGCCACAGCCCCTCTTATTAATCAGTGGGAGCGCTCTGCGCCTCTTCAAGTTTACGTCAAAGCTCCTGGAAACTGCCGCCACCTCTCGCCCCCAAGTCTATCTCCCGCACCCTGCTCTTCCCTTTCTCCCCGAAGGCTCTTTTCAGGAAGCAAACAGGCTTGGTCATCCAAACCCTCCTTGACTCTGACCCACGCCCACCCTCCTCCAGCACCAAGAAGTGAGCCTTGGTGTCCTTTGGTGACTACAACCTACCTCTGATGGGCAGGAACTGAAATGTTAGGGCCTAGCTTTTGGTACTTTTAGAGGAGAACAGAAGCCCAGAGCCCCAGAGCCCCACTCTCTGTGTGTCTTGACTGAGCATAAAAGGGACAGGAGGAAAGACTTTTAAATCATGGGGTCAGAAAAGGGACATAGGAGTTTTCCTGGCTGCCAGTAAGGGCTACCAAAATCTAAAGAGACTCCCAGGTTATTCTGGAAGTGAATTTCTCTTGCCTGGCTGAAGTCCCTGACTGGGTACAGAAAAGCACCACTGAGGCACAGAAGAGATTGGTACAGCTGGGAACTGCTCCCAGCTGGGACAAGTAGACTCAGTAGGTCCAGCTTAGGTTGTTGCTGGTGTAGTTTTCTGAACATTCTACTCCTCTTTTTACAGTGGAGCTCTACTTTCCAAGAAAAGAAAACAGCTGGTATCCTCTTGGTTCTCATCTCACAGCCAGTTAACATCTTAGTCCCAGTTAACATTCGTACCTATTTTAACTAAAACACACTCAACTAAGGAGCCTTGGGTAGAAGTCTTTCCAAGTGTTCCCAGGTTTAGCCCTTCACCTTCAAGCCCCCCACCCCCACATTCTGAAAGAAATGTAGCCTCCATTAACTAAAGATTTTTGTTCCAGCCTAATAATCTATACGGTTACTTTCCAGAGGGGCAGTGACTTTACAGTGAGGTCTACTGATACTCCAGAAATCCAGCACCCTCCTCAAGTGATATCAGAGAGCTCTGAAAGGGCAGCATGAGAGCTCCAAACTCTGAAATTGGATGGGGTGTGCCTCAGTTTCTCCATCATTGACCAGGCTGGTGGACACCTGCTTGTATTTATCCTCCTGGAGTATGGGGAAAGATAAGGATGAGATTGAGGGTTCATCTCCCCCACTTCAAGGAACTCCCAGTCTTTTGGAGAAGGTTGCTGAAGAATGGAGCATTTTAGCATAGTGTGTGGTCATGGGGATAGAGATTGATGAGAAAGACCCAAGGAAGAGTACAAAAGTGTTCAGACTCATTTTGACGGCACAAAGAACTGGATTATTAGGTGCAAAAGAAAGAGAGATATCAAAGATGATATCAAGCTTTGGAAGCTGAGCAACAGGTTTGGAATTACCATTAGCTGACAAGTAAAACTGTCTGCAGAACAAGTTTGGGAAGGGAACTCAAGATTTTGGCTTTGTACATACTAATTAAGAGAAGAGTAGCATCAAAATGGAGATACTATGTAGGCAAGTGGGGGGTGAAAAATGGAGATGAAACATTTGGGACACTAAACAAAGGAAAGGAATCTGGGTTGGGGAACTTTGTCAACATGTAGGGTATAGTTTACAACCTCAGAAATTGTGGAAAGAGAGTGAGTAGGATAAACCTTGATAAAAGCCAACATATAAATGACTAAGGTTCAGAAATAAAAACTTAGAAACTGGGGTACCTTGGAAGTCAGTCAGAATGTTTCATAGGGAGGGAAGAAATCAACCACATGACAAAGATTCAATAAAGGATGTAAAAAAATTAGGAAGAATTTTCCACTGGATCTATAAAAATAGAAGACATTGCTTATTAAAACAGTTTCTCCCAGGGCAACCTGCTCAGGTCCTCCTTCTGTCTCTCTCTCAGACAGAAGCTTTCTTTCTTTCAATAAATGCTCTGCTCTTAACCTAAAAAAAAAACTCTGTTAAACGTTGAGAAAAAGTAGTGGTTGAAATAGAAATGAAAAGTAAGGAAATAAAGGTATCACTTGTGGAGCATTTTCTACAGTTTTAATAAAACAAGGGAGAAATATTGGACCAGGCCAGGGGTTAGGTCTTGATCATGTTTATAGCCTAGAGAGAAGAAAATAAGAGAGATGGATAGGTTCAAGATCATGAAGGAAAGATGAGCAACAACCTGAGGAAGCAGAAGTAGTGAGGGTAGGAGAATGAGAAGGAATTGCCATCTTACAGAACAGGAGCTAGCTGGCCTTCTGAACCCGAGGACAGGAAGAAGGTGCCCTGCAAACACGAATCTGCTCATGGACAATATGGTGGGTAGTATACAGCAGAAGTTGGAAGAGGTAGTAACAGATAGCCTCAATTTTGCCAATGAAGAAGAATGATTATTTAACAAAAGCAAAGGAATATAAATGATTAAATATTTAAATGTCAAAATAGAAATGCTTATCCTGCTGGAAGATAAAATGAGTAAAACCCTTGAAGTCAAAAGTGTAGGCGTGGACTTTATGAAAAGAACTGCGTTGCACAATAGATAACACCAAAAGTCAGCAAGTAGAATAAATCAAATTTAAAAGATTCTGCATAAAAAACAGCTAAAAAAGTGAAGAAACAACTTAGAGAATGGGAAAAATGTTCACCAACTAGACTTTGGACAAAACACTAATAATATATAGAATACATAAAGAGCTTGAAAAGTTAGACTTCTCAAAACAAAAAAACCAATAAAAATTGGCAACCAAACTGAATAGATACATCTCAAAAATTATAAGTGGCTCATACATACATATGAAAATGTTCAACATCAATGGCTATTAGAGAAACAAAATTAAAATAACCCTAAGACTTCATCTTATTGAAGAAAAATTATCATCAAGAGAAAATAATAACATTCTGGGAAGGCTCTGGAGAAGAAGAACTCTTTTACATTGGTGGTGGAAGATAAATTACTATACCTGTTATGAAAATCAGCCTGGAGATTCCTCAGAAACCTAAATCCAGAAATTCCATTTGATCCAATTATTCACATACTAGGCATCTTCCCAAAAGGATTAAAGACATAATATTATAGTGCTATGTGCATGTCCAAGTTTATAGCAGCACAATTCTTATAGATAAATTTTGTAAACAGCCTATATGTCCATCCACAGAAAAATAAAGAACATGTGGTATATATACATAATGGAATACTACTGTGCTATAAAGAAGAACAAATTAGACTCATTTGTAGGAAAATGGATGCACCAGGGAAGCATAATCTTGAGCAAAACAAATCAGACATGCATGCTTGAACATCAGAAAGTTTCTCTCATATAACAAGATAAAAA